CCGGAAAAAGAAAATACATTTTGATACTTTTCACCGGGCTTTACAGATTTCAATGTTCCTCATTTAAAAGGCTGTTAATATGTTTCTAATTGCTCCCTTGAATAATCAATTATGAAAAAGCCTCTTCGAATTTCCTAGCACCCACGTTGACATTAAACTGGTTATTTTGTGATCATTTACACTTACAAAAGAGTCACATGGTTGTGAAGTTGCAGCCAGGTAATATGTGGAATTTTTGCCCAACAAATGACTATAATCAAAGTGTACATTTGTATGACAGAAACACACAAACACAAAAGTTGAACCATTTCCTGTAAAACCTTCACTTATAGTAGCAACAACAAATGAAGGCTGCATTTTTTATTTTAGGCCTTACACTGCAGTTTTAATTTGGAAGATGAGTTAAAGAAACCACGTGATTGTTGGCCTCTATTGCAGCTGGGGAATTTGGATGGGAGAGAACAAGCTCAAAATTTACTGCAGGCGTAAAAGCATATTCCATAAACATTGACACACACACCGGCTGCCTTACAGCCTCACCAGACCCGCCCCCTTTGGTCAGTGGCCTGTGTCGTGTCTGTCCTGAGTCCGGTCTGAGGATCGCATGGCTGCAGCCTCCACCTGCTCTGCCAATTGGACCTGTCTGTCAGCAGTGGCAGAGCACAGGCACACACTGTGGGGATATGAGCTCAGCGTATACTCGGGGGGGTCACCCCGGGACTGATGCAAGCTCTCTCACAGGCAGACATGTAAACTTAGCGATATACTTACACTTTCTGCCTTCAGCGTTGACACATTTGACAGCCTTGTGGTTACTTCGGGCACGTGCGTTTGCACAGTTCTCTATACGTACAGCCATCTAAATGCTTACAACAATGTGCACACTCAGGCAAATCTGTTTCAATCTATTCATTTTGCTGATTATATTCCTGATATGTGAACACGTAAACAGAGATTGTCTTGCCTTATCTATTCAATTGTTTCAGTTTTCCTAACAAAGAAGCCGCGACAATCAATTCATGTCCATTAGTACGATTGCAATGCACTCGACGATGAGTTAGATCTGTTTCAAACCTCAGATCTAACCAAAATTTCCAGTAACTGGTCCTTGTACTTAAAAAGTAAAATATGTTTTTTTCTCTCTCTCTTTTTGGACCCTTGCAGGAAGAAATGAGTTGATTGCACGATACATCAAACTTCGCACAGGGAAAACGCGGACCAGGAAGCAGGTGAGTTCTCTGCAAATACCATTTGTAGCAGCCTCTATTTTTGAACCCCTTCAGAAAATCCACTCCTGTTGAGTGATGCGCCAACACCCTATACATCCCCCCACTGAACCCTCAATCCTTGGAGGGCTGGAGATGATGATTGATTTAGGGCCGTGGCCCAATGCACAGATGCTATAAGATCATGTGTCGGTGTTGCTTCTTCACCATCTCGTGGATCTGGTGCTTGTTAGAAGGAATAAGAAGCTGGGGAAAACAGTGGTCTGGATGGGAAACTGAGGCAGGACGTGGAGGGATTTGGAACTCAACCCTCAGTCCGGTATCTGATATGGAAGAACTGATGTATGGGGCTGTGATGGATGTGGAGAGAAAGGGT